CGTGGATCAAGAGATCTGGTTAATGGAATTTGCTTCACTTCTCTCTGTTTTCTAAATATAAAACCTATTGTACACGTTCCTTTCACGCATGCGATGCAGCTCCTCCTTCTGTCAGTCGGCATCAGCTGAATCGCGTTTACCTCAAAGGCACAAATGTCCCTTTTTGTTATTGCGTCTTCTGAAGCCCATGAGATTTCACGGAAGGATTAAAATAGGAAATGTGGAAGTGTGAATTATTTTAGTCAACCTACCACTCCTTAAATCCAGGAGAAATGGTCCTTTAATGTGTCCACGGAAACTTAGTCAATAGGATTTTAGTCATGTTAAAAGTGGTGAAAGGTGAAAAAAGATAAGGTGGAAAATGAAAGCACGTCACCCGGATGAGTGGAATGTTTATGAGTAAACACGGCGTCTGCGTGACGTCTGGTGAATCTCCATGACGGCGGAGGATGTGTCTGCGTGTGCAGCATCCCAGTGACGGTACTCTCGCTCCGTCACACTGCATCAGGGGAAACACACAAGTGGGAAGCGAAGGGAGTTTGGGGTTTAATTAGTAGTGATGCAATAACCTGTAAGCGGCATTTCTAATCTAATGCGATTGTTTTGCAGGTAAAATTGTCTTTAAGGTGAGAGTACCTGAAGGGGGGGGGGGGGGGGCTCAGCCTGGACCCTTTCCTTGTGTCTCAATCATCTCTTTTAAACCAGATTATGTGGATGGGAATGAACGATTTGGCTGTCTAAAGCATTCTGGTTCCCACTTGCAGTCGAGGTATTCGCCTGTCATGTTTGGTCGGGCTTTGTGCAGGTAAACAATCCCCATGGAGAGAAAAAAAATCAGATTAAAGCATCGGCCAAAGTGCATTCTGGGAACCCAGCGGCTGCCGTCTGACCATGATTCAGCTTTTGGTTGTTTTAAAGTTAGCTTGTAAAGTTGCCCGGTGAAATACTGTAAAAAAAAAACTGTGAAATACCGTAAAAACAACACTATGGAAATGGTGAAAGAATCTGGACTTTCACACAATCACACAATGTCATGTGGCTTGTTTTATTATCACCGGTGTGCAGACATGCAAAACGAATCGCACACAGATCACCGCTGCGGGAAGTCTGCATGAACAACCGACTTGGCCTTTTCTTTATTTCTCTGTGCCTGAATAATTCAACGCTGCTCGCTGTCCGCTCCCGTTGTGCGCGGCGTGGATCAGAGCCAGCGAGGGGGAAGGCCCGGTGCACGGGGACGGCCCGCTTTCCGACGCCCGCAGCCAGGCGTGGCGGGTCTTGCGTAAGGGAGTGTGTGTGTGTGTGTGTGTGTGTGTGTGTGTGTGGGGGTCCAGAGTAAAATATCCCACGCTTGACAACCTCCATTTGCTTTGTCATGGCGCGTCCTCCCCCTCGTAAGACCTCGCCGATGCCCTACTAACTTTGATGTGTGGTCGAGATGATCCTCGCAAGCGGTTCCAACGTTATTTTGGCCCGAGGGTTTGTTTGAATCGTGCCACATCCCCCCCTCCTCTGCTATTAGACGGCATTTTGTAAGGACATCGTTTTTTAAATGTATTTTTCTCTGCATCCCAAAGAGAAGATTTGAACCCTGTTTCCTGCAGGACAGTTGGATTAAGAGGATTCACTATTTAACAAACCCTGCAGACATTTGACCCCTCGCAGGTGTGCATGAGTGTGTTTGTCATGTTTTCACACAACACACACACACAAACTCACAATGCTCTGAATTAATCTCTCTGCATCAGTACGCTCTGTATTCCACAAAGCGGTTTCTAAGCTTTCTCAGGTTACCAACAAATACTTGTGTGCATGTGTGCGATGCACCGCCGGGGCTTGTGGGTATTCGTTTTCATGTGGAACAGAAATAATTCTTGCTGACCAGCTGTTCAACTGCGCTAATCTCTCTCACATGCACAAGAAGGTAAGTGAAGGCATCGGCCTACACACACACACACACACACACACACACACACACACACACACACACACACAGACACACACACTCCCCCCTGGCTGGCACAGTGATATTTACTTCAGACCGCTGGAGGAGGTCACGCTGCTGCAGGTCACATCTTACGCATCTACCCAAAAACACAAAAGTTCAGAAAACCTCAATTACAACAATAACAAATATACAACAGCACAGAAGCATCAAGTATGGAAAGTCGTTTTAGTCAAAATCAAATAAATGAATAAATACATGAAATATGAATTTGAAATACATGATGAAATAAGTAAATGAGGCAATAAATACATAAAAATTAAATACATTTAATTATTTCATGGTACTTTTATTTCATAATGCCACTTTTCATTTCATGGTAGGCTACTATTATGAAATAGAAAAACGGCATTATGAAATAAAAGACTCTGGAAATGAAAAGTAACATTATGAAATAAAAGACTCTGGAAATGAAAAGTAACATTATGAAATAAAAGACTCTGGAAATGAAAAGTAACATTATGAAATAAAAGTACCATGAAATGAAAAGTGGCATTGTGAAATAAAAGTACCATGAAATAATTAAATGTATTTAATATTTATGTATTTATTGCCTCGTTTATTTATTTCCTGATGTATTTCAAATGCATATTTCATGTATTTACGTATTTATTCATTTATTTAATTTAGACTAAAACGGCATCCCATAATCCAGCGCCGTCTTCCTCTCCTCACATTCAGCTGGTGGCCCTTTCTCTGAATAAATAATAAGCAACCATGAAAATAACCTCACGGTCCGTATTGAGCTTTTGATTCTTTACTTTCTGCTGCTGTGATCGTCTTCTGAGCGTCGGCATGAGGCCATTCGTCCCGATGCGAATCACTTCTCCAGGAACGTTATTTATATTATTTGGCAAATATGTCAAGCATCGGACAAACAGTTAATTCAATGGTGAGAGAAACACCTCCAGTCTCTTCTTTATGGGGCTGAAGTATCTTTGAAGTTTCTTGTATTGACTCGCTGGTTAATGTTTGATGACCGCGCATCGATTGTGGACTTGCGGCATTCCAGAGGTTCGGACGGACAATTGCCGTCACCCATGAAAACAAACACGCCCTGTGACTCGCCGCTCGGAGGGTTAGCACGCAGCATTTCACCAGTTGGGCCTCCGATTTTTTCGATTTCTCTCGATTCTCTCTAGAACGATTCGGTCTCGATTCAGAAAAGTTAATAATCGGAATTAAAAAAATATATAGAGTGATGCATTCACACAACTATAGAAGCCCATTTCTGCACTAATGTAAGGGGATAAAATTATGAGATAAAATGTTGTCAAAAAACAAACGCCCCCCTTCGGTGATCGTAGTGGACCGTAGATGACAACCAGCTACAACCATCATTTACCATCATTACCGGCACATTAAGAGCCATGCGTCCAGCTCGCAGACCGGTCCGTCAGTCTGAATCTGAATCTCTAATAACTCTACCGAACTATGAAGGAGCCTGTGCAGATCTTACCTCATTATTTTGATTTTCCAAAAAGTCGATCCGTATTGAAAGTTGGCAAGATATTCACATATTTGGACTTTTTTCCGGTATTTTACAAATACGGACCGGCCTGAGACTAAGAGCAGCTTTTTCTTCATTTAAAAGAAAAATAAATCTGTTTAATGTTTCTTTTACATCGGCTACTTCCATATTGTGTTGAAATTCAAGCTGCGTTGGTTCTTGCATTGTTGATAGAAAATTATATTTGTGACAAAGATTTTTTTTTTTGTATAAAAAATTTGAGAAGGTAATTCATCTGTTCATTTTCTTTAATTATCAAATAAAGTAGGAAGTGATTAGCAACCTCTGAGTAGCAAACTCAGATTTGAGAAAATTTAGAAAATTGAGATGCATCGATAATCGTTTTATCAGTTTAGAATCGATAATCTTTTAAGAATCGATAATCGGTTTAGAATCGAATCGTTGACCTCTGAATCGGAATCGAATCGAATCGTGAGGTGCCAAGAGATTCCCACCCCTAATCGCTATGCAGGTCACTGCCCTCTATCTGCGGGGGGGGGCTCAGAGAGCAGAGGCATGTGTGTCCCACCTGATCCCTGCGACTCAACGCCGCCGAGCGTATTTTCTTTGTTACAATCTAAAGATGCGTTTGGCTTCTGTTCGGTCGGCATGAGGAGAGGAAAATAAAATGCTGTTGGTAACTTCATCAAACAATGAAAAACACAACATCATGAGAGTAATGGAGGAGCAGGCATGCTTTATTTTGGTGGGGCGGCCAGGAAGTTGGCATTGGCACCACAATCCAGCTGGAGTTTTTCCGTGATGTTTTGTGTTATTGCAGATTTTTTTAGGAAATTTACAGCAAGAAAATATCCTCGATTTAACACGTTTATGTTGAAGCTTGAAGCAAAAAGCTACCGTCATGCTATAAAGGAAGTGACATCACCACCAACTTGAAAAGGTGCCACTCTCACTCATCTGACCTCATTAACCTCATTGACCCGCCTCATGCTTTACATCACATGCACTGTTTTACACTGAGGGAACAGCGCGTGCATGTGAGTGGCGTCTGATGGGAAGTGGCAGGTTACCACTCAACACCCCCCCCCCCCCTCCTCCTCCTCCTCCAAGCGTGTCCTAAATGAATAAGTGAATAAAAATACATGAAAAGAGAGACTGGATGAAGCTTTATGGTTTAAGTCTAAATGCTGGAGCCTCTTGGGGGGGATTAGACGCGGAGATTCTCTGTAATAAGGACTCGGGTAGGTGTGTGTGTGTGTGTGTGTGTGTGTGTGTGTGTGGTCGGGGGAGGATTTTCCCTCAGCAGCAGCTGGACGCATGCGCCCCCCCCCCCTCCCCCCTCCACGTCATTCCTCCACCCACAGCGCAGGAGGAGCAGCGGGGATGAACTTGCCTCGTTACCTGTTTAAAGGAGCCGCCGCTCGCGGGAACAGGTGAACGTTTGTTTCTACGACCTGGGAAAGTTTTCTAACAAAAAGCCAAAAGGAAAGTGCGGGAGGGGGCGGGGGGGGGGGCTGAATTCTATCGGACATGAGGAGAAGGGTCTATTAGACCCCACCGCGAGGGACTGGAGCGCGTGAACACTGACCGAAACAACGACAGAAGAAGCGAAGCCCATTCGGATTCCAGACGTCCCCCGGCCGGGCGACGCGTCTCGAGAGGAGGGGGGGTGGGGGTGGGGGGCAGAATGACACCCGGACGCCCCGACGTCTTCCGCCCGCTGGGACTACTTCTTTGCTATGCATCGGCCGGTTTTTGCAGCGTTCCGTGGAACTAGCGGGGGTTTCGGTGAGCGCGCGCGGGACCCGAGGGCACCATGTCCAAAGCGCTCCAGAGGCGGAACCACTGGAGCGCCAAAGTGAACCAGTGCCTGGTGGCGCGCGACGCCGCGGGGGAGCTGAACGTGGGGTCTCGCGGCGGAAGCGAGGAACGGGAGAGTTTCCCGTAACATCGGCCGGCCCGAGGAAGGGGAAGGAAGACCCGCGGTCCTCCCGGGACGGCGACCCGCGGGAGGGGGAGTTCCTCCTGAGAGTTGAAGGAGCTCCCCGTTTCCGGGATTACCCCTCTATGACATTTCTAATGTTGATGACGTGCTGCGAGGGGCCCGTCCGGGTTTAAAAACTGTGCGTCAAGGTAAGAAAACCCTGATCAAAGTCCCTGGTCACAGTGTGTTTTGTGTGTGTGTGTGTGCGCGCGTGTGCGTGAGATGAGCACAAGTGCACCAGAGTCCCAGGGGAAGATGTTTCATAAATGCCAGCATGGGCGCATCCAACAACACGCTGATGGGTGAAAGTAGGGGCGGAGGAGCGGGCTGATGTGGAGCGGTTCCGACAGTCCCCCTGCCTTCATTCAGTCTTCAGCATCACCGAGGGTTCGGCCCCGGGGGGGGGGGGGGTCACAGTATGGCCCTCTTACAGACTGTTCTTCCGACATGTAAAGCTTTATCGGCCTGATGGGGCCGAAGGAGAATAACGCACGTTATACCCAAATTACCACCGCACCTCACTTCGATCAATAGGAAATCTATTGTACAGTCATCTACAGTTTATTTATCTGTCATGTTGTTCTCTTGTATGATTTATAATCAAATGTTTGTGTTCTACTTGGCAAAGGCTGACTGGTACCTCGGGGACGTTTGGGCTTGATGTTTGCTCCCTAACAAAGGAATCAGCTGATGGCAACATTACAAGAAGATAATTCGGAATATCATACAGCATCGACGATATCATTCTACATTTTGGCATTGAAGGGGTGTGTTGTCTATTTACTTGGATTCTTTATGACTGAAAAGTGATCTCATTGTATACATTTTTTTCCGAAAGCAACATATTTACATTTGGTGTAAATATATTGTGATATTTTCTCTGACCCTCACGAGTTTGTGGGCGGGATTGGTGAGAGCGGGACACCACTCTTGGGCAGCTGCAGTTATTTTTGGAAGTTCCTCCTGCGTGTTGTGATGAGATTGACCCATTGCCACGGTCTGCTGCATCTGCATCTGTCCGAGAGAGGTTGGGGGGGTCGGCGGGTGGTGGAGGGTGTGTGGGTGGGGGTGGACTGGCTTATTGTTGTTCTTCCTGTCGGCCAAAACCGGATGTTCTGTGTTGTGAAAAATGAAATATATATGTATATATTTTTAATTTCAAGTCGGATTTTAATTGTCTATTCACACAGGCTGAATCTCATTAACCCCCCCAGCAGTGTTGCATCATGGGGGATTTTTAATAGCAATGCTGCGTCGCCCCGACTTTGGGCATCAACTTTCTTTCCCCAGGCGTCTTTGTGGCCTTGTCGTTACCCTCTCACATGAGTCAGTGGATTCTCCTTTTCCGTGTGTGTGTGGGGAAGGAGGGTCTCCTGTCCGAGCGGCTCACAGGCCTCCATTGTGCCCGCCGGCCTGTCGGCTTCCCATGCCGGGGACGGAAATGGGTGGCTGGAATCGCCCTCCGTTCCCCTCCAAAGAGCCGTGGGTTCGCATTACGCGCCGTCCCGGTTTGTACGTGGGGGAGGGGGGGGAGGGTTTGTTCTGTGTTAATTATACTTCACCCCCCCACAGGTGTGCAGCTCCCGCCAAGGAATTCAGTAAGAAATCTACCTGAATGATATTCGTGTGGTGAAAAGGTGGAATGAGCCTTGACTTTTGTGTGTTATTTACATAAAAATGACTTTGATTGGAGTCTCAATTTCTTTTCCCACTTTTCATGTTTTTGACCCTCCGTCTGTAAACATTATTAAGCTGTCACTCTCCTTGTTGTGTGTCGTTACCATGGCTACAGGTGTAATTCTCCTCGTCCGTTTACCGTCGATGTCACAATCGTACGAATTGAAGACCTCCTGGAACTGAACAAAAGTGAAGCCAAATGAGCGAGCTTGACGAGAACGAACTAAAGTGACACGAACCGTCTTTAGGAGGAAATGTATCCTTGCGTCACCCTTTGGTCCGTGGGCTGACGCTCTGTAGCCTTGACTTTGATATTTTGTCTTGTTTTTAGTTATTTTGCAACTCCAAGTGACACGAGAGGTGGGGAGGGGGGCAAAGTCAAACCAAACACTAAGTATTTGGTCAAGTTACTGGGTAAGTTTGTTGTTTTTAGAATATTATCCCTTATCCTTCTGTCTCATGGGACCTTTGCTAACGGAGGCGCTCGTAAATGAGCAGTTGAATCATTTGGCGTCATTTCGGGGTTAAAGTGCAAAGAGGGAGTGCGTTCGGACGTGTTCGGACTTTGACCCACCAGTGCAGCGCTTATCTCTCATCATCGATCGAATCCAGCTCACGTGGGAAAGGTTCTGCTGTCATTGTCTCGTCCCTTGACTTTATTTTAGTCTGATAACGGCGCTTTGCGTCAAAGTGCACTCTGTGCCCCAGGTCATCGAAACTTTATCAGAATACTTGGTTTATAGTTGAAGCTAAATTCAGTTTGCACTCAGTTTGAGTCAAAATAAAATAACCGACATGAGTGAACGACACACGGCGGCGTCTGCTTGTTTCGAGTTACCTTAAACCCCCCCCCGGGGGGGGGGACCGAAAGGTCTGGAGGTTTATGGTGCTCTGATGAGAGGGTTGCCTTGGCCGGGTCGAATCTCCGTGACAAAGGGCCCCCCTGGTCGCCTTAGATCTCGCTAGAGGGGTTGGTGGCGGCCGGCTGGATGCCAGGCATTCCTCAGGGGTGGGGCCACGAGGTCACTCGTAGAACCCAGGTTGAAACATCCAGACCTTTTCATACCTCAAATACTCCTTCCTGCTCCTCCCCGCTCACTTTCTCCCCTCGGCGCTCCTCGACCACGCAGGCCCAGGACGTTGATTCCTCTGCTTAAGGAGTAACTGCACACTTTAAATACTGTTCTAGTGACCATTGGAAGAAGGTACCGAGGAACCATTGCTCCGTGGAAAGGTTCTCTGTAGAACGTCTCACAGGGCGGGTGGGGTTGACACACCTTGTAGAGATGGTTCCAGGTGTAACCCTTCGCTTGGGCTCTAGATAGGACACGTTGTGTCTCCGGTCCTTGTGCTCATCCGCAGGACGCTCAGACCTCGTCCCAGAATGCAAGTCTGATGTTTTCCCCAGTGTGGAGATTTGGTCGGTCTTGATTCAGTGCAACAGTGAGTTTGTCCCCGAAAGGCCTGTCGGCTTGTGACATGGATGCGCTGCTCTTTGACTCTCCCTCCACATCCACCGCCGCGTTACGAGGTCTTTTTTAGTAGGTTATTTCATACGGGACAGTGCTGATTAATAAAAAAGAATTGTGTAAATGCGGCGGGGTTTAGCCAAATGGTTATTTTCCATCTCTACTTCCGAGGGGCAGTAAACTTTGATCTTTACACATTGGAATGTTGGCTTTGTTCTGGTGGAGTGATTGGCATGCACGGCTAACAAAGGCAGCGAAGGAGCGACGACGCCACGCTCAAGCCGTGAGTGCTGCAGGAAGACTTGAGAGCAGGTCGAGGCCTTTCGGTGTTCTCGGTTCCACTCAGCTAACTGCAGCCGCGTTTATGGTCCCTTCGGGGCGGACGTCCAACCTCGTATGCCTGTAACGCCGACTGTAGCAAACAAAGAACGAGTTCACTGAGGTCAGATTTGTGAACTCGGAGCATTTTACGCTTTGTTTTCACCCCAGGAAAGTCTCAAGGAGGGTTTGCTCCCTTTTTACCAGCCTTACCAGCGATTATTCACAATATTTTGCTGAATACCAGCTGGAAGTTGAGTTACTGTGTTTGTGATTGAACCATCTTTAGCTTTGTTTCGTTTATTTGCTCCCCAGGATGTGCATATCTCATTTTTTTACATGCAGGAAAGTAAAGCCACGTCCGTGCAGCTGAGCACTTCCTCCACCGCCTGTCGGTCACGTGACCAGTAAGAAGCAAGAAGAGCCCCCGGGTCTCCAAAGTGCACCATGTTCTTCTCTTTTGTAGTTCACTTGCATCACGCTCCACGAAGCAGCAGAGGTTCTCCAACACGCGTGTTGATGTCGATGCATGTGCAATAGGAAGCAACGTGTCATACACCATGTGTAGTAACTCCTATTGTTTCTCTCCATTTAGTCACGTTCACGTCTGTTAAACACGTCGGGAGGCGCATAATGAATGATTTACAGAAGACGCACAAACTCTCATCGAGGGGAAATAGTGTTTGATTGACTTAATGAACGTCTGAATTATAAGAATAAGGTTCTGTTGGACGTTCTTGTCTGTATTTGGCTTTTCACAGCTTTGTTGTGCATTGAAAGCTGTGAGCGATTGATGTTAAAAGTAGTAACTCTTGAGACTTTTTGTCAATGTTCCAAAGCAAGATCAACCCGAATTGCACTTCAATGGAGATGTTTATTTTATTGCACCTCATGAAAAAACTGCTCCGATAAGAGCACAAAAATCCAAATGAGACAAAGACACAAATCAAAAAGTAGCTATCGAGGTGAAAAATATGTCCTTATTCTTTTTCAACAGCTCCCCTTGTCCAGTGTTTTGTCATATGTATTGTGGTATGTTAAATGTCTTAATGCGTATTTAAATTATCATATTACATTTATACGCTGCATTGTTTAATATTCTCTTAATTGTAAGGCGGCCCCATGTAAATCATCTCTGCGATAAGTGTTGCTATGAGAACAGAGCTGGTTCTGTTTCTTTAGCTGGCCGCCAGACATTTTAATTTGATTTAATTTGATTTGATTGCCAATCGCCATCAGACCGGCAGCCATTTCTCCACCGCCGTCCCCGGGCCAAACGTTGGGAGACCAAATTCCTTTTCCAGAGTTGACGACTTTGTGATGTTTCTGGGAAGGGGGGAGGGGGGCTCGGACCAAACCGAGTCTCACGTGGCCGAGATGAATCCACATCTGGAGGGGATTTACGCGCCATCACGGGCTCGGCGTTGAATCGGCGCCCGGCCTTTCGGTCCGTTTCTTTGGTTTTGTTGCGGTGGTTTTGTTGCGGGGCGTAATTACACCTTCCTCGGGATGCAAATAGCCTGGTGTCGGAAACGCTCTGGGTCTCCCAAAGGTTCACAAGCCCGGGCTGGACTGGAGGATTGAAAATCCGCCTCTTAAGAAGCCCAGTGCTAAATCTAAATGTTTGCAAGACAAAACGCAGACTTACTTAAAATAATCCGCAGTAATCAGACGGATTCTCTCAC